ATTGTATTATTTGCTTTAGACAATAATAAGTGCCGAATTTCCTAAGATATCTCGTCAAATGAAAAATTGTATACAACCACTTGATACCGATCGTTCACTTTATGTATGTATGTATAGGGCAGCTATATGCCACAAAGGTCCGATATGGACGTTTCCGACAAATGAGCAGCTTCTTGGTGAGGGAAAGACGAGTGCATTTTTTTTTTATATACAGACGGATGGGAGAACATACGGATGGACATGGCTAAATCAATTCAGTTATATATATATATACATACTAATACTTATACTATTATTCATGTCATAAACTATTCAATAGAGTGAAAATTTTATTTACGAATAAAGAGGAAACCGTCTTTGTCGGTATAACAAAGGATTGTAGTTGAGATTTAATTTTGAATGTGTTCATACAAATAAATTATACTGGAAAAAAACGAATTTAAGGCTGCTTTCTCAATGTCTGGTTACCAGTTTTTCTGTCCAGTTAATAGAGTTGTCCGCTTTATAGAGCACTTTCACTGTATTTTTTATTTATGGATTGTTTTTCACTATCCTATCTTTTAAGTTGGCTCGAACTGGATACCATGTGCTAAGTTTTACTAAATTCGGTTCAGTAGTTTAGGAGTCTATCGCGGACGTAGTTTGTGTAGTGACACGTGATTTTTATATATAAAGATACGAGAAACGATAGAGTCTCTGATGTTTCCTGTTGRGTGTTAACATATCGTGGCAAACTTAATGTATGTAAGTATCTTGTTCTGGGTATAAAAATTAATTAAATGGCAATAACTATTTAATAGAACGTTAGAAATATTACAATCCATAAAGCAAATAACACAGAAAGCTCCATCTRTTTAGAAAGTTGTATGCTACCGTTTTTAGCTACAGCTTTTTATATCTCGTAAACCGGTTAGATCCAATTTTATGTTAAATTTTTTTCACTTGACAGTAAATGTTTTCGGTTTAAACAGAAAAAAAATGTATAAAAGTTTATCACAAATAATGAGTCTCATGTAATCTAGTTCTCCCTTAAGAGTTGCATGGGTTAAAGGGTTTCAAAAAATAGATTTTTTTATTGTCTTATTAAAATCTACAACACCTCTATAATATTGTCCTAACTATTTAAGTTGATCCGAGTAATACGAGTATTAGGTTATCTCCCTTCCGGTTTTTTACTCTTTATTCAATGCTTTATAAAAAGTGTTAGAGTGATCGGATTTCGTTCAAATATGCGCTGTTTCGTTTAATAATCTGTTTCCATCTAAACGGCAACTTCATAATACCCCCCTCGTAGAAGCCCCTCCCCTAATTTACGAAGAACTCGGCCAGCCACTTTTCAAAAGTTCCTTTTGAGTTCAACCTTACATCAACAAGAGCGTTCACCATGGATAGGAAGAGGTGGTAATCACTTGGCGTTATGTCCGGGCTGTATGGTGGATGCGATAAAACCTCCAATCCGAGCTCCCGTGTCTTTTGCGAGTCATCAACAAAGTGTGTGGTCTGGCGTTGTCCTGGTGAAACACTACACCCTGCCAGTTGGATAACTCTGTACGCTTATGGTCGATCGCCAGTCCAATTRTTCGCAGTAGATGGTAGAATTAAGCGTCTGGCCATATGGCAGCAGCTCATGGTGGATGATTCCCTTCCAATACCACCACACTCACAGCAAAACCTTACTGGCCGCCAATCCCGGCTTGGTCACTGTTTGGGACGATTCACCGGCCTTCGATCACGACCGTTGATATTGTCGTATGTGATCCATTTTTCGTCGCCAGTCGCCATCCGCTTCAAAAATGGGTCGATTTCATTCTCTAGCGGATTTGCCTTTAACGAAGGAAAACGTTAAAATAGCGCGAATTTCGGCGTTAGTGAACTCCATRTTTACACGTCTATAACTGTTGAACGCAATATCCAAAAAAATCATGCATAGCGTCGTTTTGTAGGTGATGTCAAGACCTTTCAAAAATATATAGTATTGCCAAATGCGAGCTCTGTAGCGCTCTATACGCGAAATTCAAAAGACAAAAGTGAGGAAGGGAGATACTTTCCAACCAATATTACAACTCTTTAGTTTAACAATCAAAACCACATCAAGACACAAAGCAAGCTCACTAACAAATAACCAAAAACAAAGATGTTTATTCACATATTWTTACGCCCTGCAGTTTAATATATTTGCAGATTGTAGAAATACTTCAACTAATTTTGTGAAACCGCATTCCTCTGTTACATTCACACAGTTTGATTTTGTGGCGGAATTACGAGCGTTTAACGGTGAACGCTTTTCGCAAATAAYTTGCAATKGTTTTACACAATTATTATCGTTCATTACAAAGATATCATTGGATAGCGCGACTTGTACACAATCCTCTGCATCTCCCGCATTGTTGGGTTCGTTCTGTCCCCAGAATGTATACAGCATTGGACGTCCACTATTCAACGACATGTATGTTCCTTCCACCGACAAATCGTTGCTACTTGTCCAAGCATGCATATCACTAAACATCGTCTTTAAGTACGAAAATAAAGCATTCTTTTCGGCCAAGGATTCAATCGTTAGCAAATCACTGTCGAAAGAACGACAAAAATGAGCAGCTCCAAACCAATCCAGCTACAATRGGAAGACAATGYGTTTTATGTAAATAAAATTGTTTATGTTTGAGTACCTTTAAGCCTTGAGTCACTAAATAATACTTGCTGCCAACTTTWATAAAGGGCTGTAAATCCACATCTTCACCTGTGTATTTAAAAAACAAAAATTAATAGTTAAATTAATTAATTAATAAAAATTTGTATTACCTTCTTGAACCGATATGCTACTAGCAGTATATAATGAAACATTAATACAAAGTAAAAAAATAAACGGAATATATCGCACGTCTCGCATAATTCAAGTATATTTTTTAAGCTCAAGCCTCTGCGCGTCCAATTTGTGGTGTTGTGAAACATCAAATGAAATTTTTGCAAGTTTTAAAGATTATGCTTCTAATAACAACAAGCTTTAAATATTATATGTAAACCATATATTATATGTCAACCAATTACTTTACTCTCACTCACAAATCATATGAACCGTAAGCACACAAGTCGTATTTTTCTCTCGAGCGATAAGAGTTTTTGAAAGGCGGTGTGAATTTGGTAAGTTATTATATATGTACATTATATAATATATGAATAAATATTTCATACTGGCTCAAAATAGACAAAATAATTTGGTCCAAACCAAACATTTTTTTTAAGTTTTTCCTGAAGTTCTTAAAGTGGTGAATAAAAGCTAATTGAGTTATAATCTAAACTGAAAACAATGTGCATTTCAAAATAAAAATTCTCGTTGCCAACTAGTATTTTACTAACCAGTTTGAATTTACTCAAAGATATCATGCTGTGAACTAGTATTTTTGCTCACTCRCATAATGCTTCACTAAGTACTTGTGCAATATTCTGGTAAGGCACACTGATAAGAGTCCAACGCTTATCGCAGTTCGTGGCAGGATGAAGCAAAATATTAAATTTTTGTAAATTATTTTATAATTATTTATGATTTAATTTAATTTTTATTTAATATTAAGGCACGCAGCAATTATTCTTATTGTGTAAGTTTGTTATGCTCTGCAATATATGGTACATAAGGTTTTCCCCATTGTTTATTATATTATATATATTATAATACGATTTATTTAAGAAAAGTAGTAGATATGCTTATAGAATGAAATAGGGGGTCATATTAGATTGTCAAATAGCTCCCTTCCGTCTTTTTGTCTTTTGAATTTCGCGGCTATGTACAAGTATAAAGCGCTACAGAACTCGCATCTGGCATCTGGCAGTACTATACATCTTTGAAAGGTCTTGACCTCACCGACAAAACGACGCTATGTATGATTAGTTTGGATATTGCGTTCAACAGTTATAGACGTGTACGATAAACATGGATTTCACTAACGCCGAAATTCGCGCTATTCTAAAGCTTTTCTTCGTTAAAGGCAAATCTGCTAGAGAAACGTTCCGTGAGGTTGGAAGGAAATCATTCATTATGAGCTGCTCCCATATGGTTAACCGCTTAATTCTATCATCTGTTGCGAACAACTGGACCGCTTGAAGCTGGCGATAGACCAGAAACATTTAGAATTGGCCAAGAGGAAGGGTGTATTGTTCCGCCAGGACAACGGCAGACCACACACTTCGTTGATGACTCGCAAAAGCGACGGAAGCTCGGATTGAAGGTTTTATCGCATCCACCATATAGCCCGGACATAACACTAGGGATTTCCACCTGTTCCTGTCCATGGCGAACGCCCTTGTTGATGTAAAGTTGAACTCAAAAGGGGCTTTCGAAAAGTGGCTGGCCGAGTTCTTCGTAAAYTAGTAGTGGGGCTTCTACGAGGGCCGTATTATGAAGTTGGCGTCTAAATGGAAAAAGATTATCGAACTAAACAGCGCATATTTCAACTGAATCCGATGACTGTAATATTTTTTATAAAGCATTGAATAAAGTGCAAACAAAGCGGAAGGGAGATATTTGACAATCTTATATGTAAATAATTGTTTTTTATTATTTCAAATATATAGTGAGCTTGCTTTGTATCCTGATGTGGTTTTGATTGTTTAAATAAAGAGTTATAATAGTTAAATTCCAAAAATCGATTGAGCTGTACTGTTCCTGTGGATTCAAAGTTTTCCACCAGACGCTCAATTGTTGATCTGACATAACGATTATGACGACCATAAATTGGACGTAGCGCTCTTAAAGTTGGTGCCACTTACTCCGACAAACCCGACAATTTTAAACATTTATAACAACATAGGAAAAAGTCTTACTATTTTGTRCCCACAGTAGTATATCCTTCAACACTTTGTAGCAATTTCGTAATTTCTCTACAAAAACCCGCAAAAGGTCTTACGAAATTGTCATATATTTGATGAACATACCACAAAAAATACACAGACTGACATATAATATGTATTTAAGTACATACATATACATATACATATATATGCAAAACACCTTAAAAGCAATGTCAAATTAAAATTGCAATTGCAATTCTCGTTGCACTCGTTTTGCGTTTTTGATGAGAAAACCCATTTCTGTGAGTTTGCAACGCACTGCGGCAACTACTTTACTGAGCTGTGCTCTGCATAATTTAACTGTGGCGAAGCGCAAAAATGCAGTAAATCGTATGTCTCGATGATGAGGGAAATATGTCAGTGGCGGGCTAGCTCGAGAAGCGTCAAAATGAAATGCAATGAGCCAATCAATAGGCGACTCATAAGKCGACGATTGACAGTTTGAGAAATCAAGCGAACGGTGCAACAGCAATGTGCAACGCAATAAAAATGACAATAATAATAAAAGCAGAAAAGCAGTAKCTTGCAAATGCTTGTCAATTAAGCTGCGACAATGTTGCTTTTTTGTATGGCATTAATARTTATTATTGTTGTTATTGTTGCACTTATTAATATTGCTGCTGCTGTTGCTGTTGATGACTCCGATTGCTGTGATTGCCACTGTGCGTGGAATGTTTGCCAAGTAGCCACAAAGCGGCAATTAAAGCATTGCAAAAACAAAAWACAAACACAACAGACGAACAACAACAACAACACCTGCCGGCGGCAGCAATACGCAGCGTCACGTAAGCAAAACAACTTCCAGGCAGATTATGGCCGCTGATGATGTTGTTCAGATTGATGATGTTTGACTGATCGTAGGTGAGTTTGCGCCAAACAGGTTGCTGGTTGCTGCTGGCTGCCAGCTGTCCGTTGTTGTTGCTGACGCGCTGTCAGCGTTTGCCGAATGTGGGCGTGCTGTGTCAGCGTGGCAACACACTTGATTCAAGATAACAAAAACAACAAACCAAAAAAAATTAATAAAAAGTCACTAAAAATATTAAAGCGCCATAAACACCTAGCATTTGTGGCAATTTAAAAATATTATTATAATATTTATTGCTACTTTCAAATACCACGACTTCCAAGAGGAAGTACGGCGTCTTCGTGTTTTTACCTCACAATTGTAGTGTTTTTATATATTTACTTATATAACTATCTTTTTATTAAACGGAGACTAGACATTGGTAGCTGTGATATATTAGTAATTAGATTCGAAACAACAACTAACTTTTTTACTTTTGAAGTATCAAGTTATGTTTTTCCAAACCTCGAATTGTTTTGTTTTTTTTTGAAACTGAGCGACGAATCGGAACAAAAATTCGGCATATTACAGCCCTGTTACTTTGTTTTCTCCAATTAGTCGGTGCAAATCCTATCACATACATCTCTGGAAAAGGATGTCATCATCTTTCCGGATGATCCGCTAACCTATGTCCTCTTCAAAGCAAGTTTACTGGTAAAGTTCATTATTTCGACTTTTTCTTGGTCTAAGATGGGTGCCAAGTGATCCGTATTTAATCGACAGTAACAAAACGAAAAGCAAACTTTTTAGAATTGTGTTCAAACCACGTCAAACACTCTTCTGAAATGGTCCCTCGGCCTTTTCAGATGAGTACCGCCTCAGCTATATTGTTAGCGAAGTAAAGAAATGAGTTCTATTTGTCATCTGTATTAAGGAGCATTCCAATATGCTTAGTAAATTCCTGTTTCTACCCAATACCAAGAATTTTCGAAATCTTATGGGATTGGAATTTGTTCAGAAATGAGGCCTATTTCTGGCCCAATGGGTATGTAAACAAACAGAATTGCCGCATTTAGGACGAAGAGCAACCCGAAGATATTAAAGGGATGTCATTTAATCCAGAAAAAAAAAATGGTTTGGTATGGTTTGTGAAAAATAATGCCGGCGAAATCGTAACCGTCAATGGCGACTGTTATCGCCATTTGATTCCTGAAATGGAAGCTCGGGATCTCGGCGAAATTTTGATTTCAACGAACGAAACGAAAATTACACTCAACGAATAGACCATCTGAGACCTTCGAAGGAGACAATCTACAAAAAGTTAATGTCGAAAAATGTTTTTTCGTGTAATAATAAATCTCCTCAATTAAATTTGAAAAAAAAATATTTTGAATTTAAAAGCGCCACTTTCACAGCCGTTAATAATAATATTTTTAAAATATTTTACAATTTTATATTTACAAATTTAAAATATTTTGTATTTCCAACAAACAGCTGATGATCTTTCTTTATAAATTTCCAGATGCCAATAAAAAATCACCAATGCCCACAGTGACGCCAATACAAGGGCCAATATTCCTGAAAAATGGTACGGCGCCAGTGGTGCCGTTATTTTCATATCCCACACTCAACAATGGATCTTTCGTACAAATACCGGTAAGTGAGAATATATTATAATGAAGCTTAGTGAGAAACAAAGAAATTTTACAAAAATTTACAAACTGGTAAATAAATTTATAACTGTCTAAATGTCGAAAACTTATATTTTCGCTCCATGAAAATACTTTCTACACAAAAATCATGAGCGCAGCCACTCGTTTTCAACATAACGAAACTCGTTTTTCCTGAATATGTGTGTATGGTTTTATAAAAAATGATATTTAAAAGGCGTTAGAGCAGTTCAATAGTCGCTAGTTCGCATAATTTGCATAGATGATAAATGTGCAGATAATTGTCATTAGTTAATGGCCAATGAGGTGAACTATTTATATATGTATATATGGTTCATAAAATACACTAATCAACACAAATTTGTAGTATGTACTTGAAAATATGCACCTAATTGAGAAAATTTATCAGTATATCAGTTTGGTGTAATATTTGTAAATTTATTTTTGCAAATTAAAAAAAAAAAATTATACTGATTTTTTAACAAATATGAATATAATAAACCGCCAATATCAAATTTATCGTCGGATTTAATTTTATATATTTTTAAATATTTAAATTTAGCTATGATCTCGAAGATTTATTCAAAAAATAATGTTTTGTTTACGTTTGCCATTATTTTTTTATTTTTTATTTATTTATTTTTTTTTTTTTTTTTTTGCATTTAATATATTAGCGGATTTATATCGATATTTATATTTACATATTCAACATATTGCAATAAATAATCTATTTTGACAGTCTTGAAGGCCGAATATAGTTACGTCTCTTCTCCAAGTAGTTTCGACTGCATTTTAAATTATTTTAATTAATTATTATTGATCAATATGCAGAATAGCGTTTTATAACGTGTTAAAAAAGCAATACATTTCAAATTTATTACTTAAATGTCCATAAAATGGAATTTTTGTAGCAAAAGAAGAAAACTTTGTTAACAGTTAAGTATTGCTGCTATTTCGCAAACATATTTATATAAGGATTAAGGTTTTTTATTCCAAAATCGGTGGTAACTTTGTAATTTTTACATTTTAATATGGTCCTACATATTTCACTTTAATTTTATCTATTTTTTTTTTATTCCAAAACGGATGTGAATCTTGTAAATTTCATTTGGTTTTAAACCGTCCAATATTTAAGCAAACAATCGAAAGTAAAGTGTTCAAACTTTTAACGAATCAATAAGAACCTTAACGAGACATAATTAGTTTTCCATTAATTAGCCTTCCCTGATATCGTAACCAACATACGAGCAATATTCGAGCATCCAGAAGAGATGCAATAAGTAGCGTTATAAATAACGCTCAAAGCTTCATACGCCAAATCGAGTAACCTAGAGRTAAACGCCAGTAGGAGGGATATGGTACTCCTCCCAAGTAGATACAAAATCACATCACAAAAAGCTCTGCGGCTCAACGGGCTAGAGTTAACAACTAAGGACCTACCAAATGCCTGGGTGTAATTTTGGATAGCAAACTGACGTAGATATTAAATGTGGAATAGAGGGTAAAAAAGGCCAGAGGTGCTCTCTATGCACGTAAAAAGATGCTGCTTTGATGTGGTGAAATACAAGAAACCAGAACGGAAGCAATAAGAATTACACCAATGGCTGCGCTAAAAAATTTACTCAATCTAAAATCAATCGAGATTGCTTGAAAGCTTGAAAGCGAAATTAGCACAAAGTTTGGCGGGGTTAGGTGATTTTTTCACAATAACCTTAGCGTATAGCCTAACCACACATCCTCACATTTTATCTGGAATAGACGATTTATAGGTACCCTAAAAGAGGGTAGATGGAGTATTGGCTGAAGACCCACCATCGAATCTTTCAACATATACACGAAATAATCAACAAGGGCCGATGGAGTGGAATCTGGAATGAGATCTCATGCGATCCTTCAAGCGACCGGAATATAGCAGTATCTTCCATGCAGAAGTCTTTGCGTTCAGAAAGGCGGCTGAAATACATATCTAATACTCGTAGTACAGGAAACGATATAAATATGTATAACCAATATACAAGTTTATACAATAGCCAAGCGGCAATTTGAGCAATAGCTTCACATCCCCAGAGACCTTAGAATAGTGCTAGCCTGAAAGCGTCTACTTACATATATATTTTGTTCCAGGCCGCAATGATGAGAATCTCAAACGCCATCCGCTTGGCTACCGAACTAGTTGAGGAAAGAAAGTAACTGAAAGATCTAGCAGACGGATCAGGGGGAAATGAAATATCGTAATGGCATTAAGAATCGCTAAAATCATGTGCAAGAGATCGGAACAAAAGCAAATATAATTTTTATTCACATGGTCTCGAAAAGACTGCAAGACGGACGAAACTCAATAAAAGGCAGTTTGGGATTGAGACTCAGAKCTTTCTCTCGACCAACAAATATTRCGTTCTATAAGMCCTCATKGTTCMTGTCCTATAAAATATACGGTATAGCAACGTGGACGATAAMGAACCATGATGGAAATGCAGTGAGAGCATTCGAGAGAACTGCTCTTCACAAGAGCTTTGGAGCCGTCCGCACGAGCGCTGAATATAAAAGAAGAAATATACCGTTTACATGAGCTCTACGGCGTTCTTGTACATGTATATACAAGATGAGCTTTAGCAAAAAGTTCCTTCGATTCGAGACCAATGGATGRACAATAGAAAGATCAGTCAGCATCGCGATCAGTCTCTATTTTCGATGTTAAACTATCGTGACCCCGCAAAGARTAGAGTTAACTGCGAACTGTTATGTTCGCGGCCCAGAYCGGCGCATGRTTGTAGTGYCAAAGCAGAAGAGAAATAAGCGATKATTAAAATCGATATCGATGAAAGTTAATGATAAGTTTGATGATAAAATAGAGATGGCATTGACAAACCACATAGCTTTGCCTTGGACTTAAATTAAATGAAAAAASAGATGATGAGATTTGAATTAAATTAAATTAAACTTTTTTTCTTCAAAGGTTTTGAAGATTTGTGTGTCAATATGAAAGCTTGCTTACACTGTAACATATACAAGTAAAATAGTATTTTTTGACTAGTTTCGTGACTGACTTCTTTGGACTTGGATGGGTTTCGTAATGGATCTTTACATAATGAGTCTTTACATAAACGATAATCTGCAAACTTGCAACAATTGAAGTATTGCTTTGTAATTAAATTTCCGTACACAAAAATAGCCAAAATGAGGAAACAACAATTTCTTTATAAATGTTTCAACAGAGAAACCAAAGACTATGGCTTGGTCAATGACCACGCTTACAAAGGCAGATATGTCTGTGGCAGATTAAGATGCAAACAGAATGCGAAAAATGTGTGTAACCCAGAAAGTAAGTTTGAAAGCGAAAGTGGAAGATAGGGAGAAGTAATTTTAAAATAAGCAAACAAATTTTCACTTGAAAAGGTTTATGGGTTTATAAAAATCAATATAAATTATAAAAAAAAAAAAACAAATAAATAATTTATGTGTGCATAAAAAGTGAYTGTGTAGTCAAAAACAACAGCAATTAATAATTTTGAATTTCTTTGCCGACATATAGCGCATAAATCAAACGGTGGAGCGTCAACAGGTGTTGAGCGGTAATCAATTGAAAAAGGGTATACAACAATAAATCAAAGGAAGTAGCGAAAATGAGTAGGCAGCGATGAGAAGGATTAAGCGACGCATGCTTCTTTTCAACRCCACGCGCACAACAACAAAACTAACATGCAGGTGGTGCTGCGCATGCGCACACAGCTGAAAAAAGCGCATATATAGTATGTATATTATAACAAAAAACCCGCTAAGCAGCCACAATAAAAGCGCGACTTGTGACGAAATTCGTTTCAAGAAWTTTAAAATGAATACCAAAAGCATTGCGCGAAGGTCAATAGCCAAATCACAATGTGAATATTCTCAAACTCAAATCGGGCGCTAAGCAGCAACACMACTTTTGCATTGTTGTTGTTTCTGTTTTTGTTATTTTTACGACGCTGACGTTTTTAAATTGTTCTCATTTTCATTTTAAATTTCTAACAAATTTTATTGTTATTTAATCAATAATTCTGCGCCGCGCATGTGACTCTGCCCTAACTAACTGTTAACGCACTCTTATCTTTTTTATTAATTTAAAAAAAAAAATTTTTTTTTGCGAATTCAGCAAAGGCGCGCATGCGCGACCTTCATTTATCAGAAAGGCAAAATCATTTCCGCCAACGTTGAAATGTGTTTAATATAAACAGAGGCTTGCTGTGTTGAGTGAGGAAGAGAAGGAATGCKATGACAGCAGGGGAAGCCCAATTCGCTATTAACTTCAGCATTTATCATACATGCGTGTTTTTGATAAAAACATGCGTGTTGA